ATATATGACTGCGTCTACAGGCAATACGAAACCTGCCATGGCATTTACATGGAACTAATGTTTTCTCACCAGGGAAGACTGCGCGGCAGAATATGGACGTCCCGTGCCGCTTGAATTGCCAGTCGAAAGCAGCCTCGTAAAACTGACGATTGAGTACTTATTAGGAGGCATTATGGACCAAGTGAAGGGCCACAACACTGTTTACCTGCGGTTACTGTTCTATTATTATTAACTCGTACCTCAAAGCCAGGGCTTATGGTCTATCTTCCTGCGGATTCACCTACATCGAGGCTTCACCTCTGGATGGCAAAAACGAAAATGGGCCATGAGTTTAACTTCACAGTCACCAAAATAGTCAGCCATGTCGAAAACAGAACAGGTAGAAGATTGATTGAATGTTGGGCCTTCGATGAGAAGTCAGTCAATCGATTTGTCTATCTGGCGCCGGCGTACAAAGACCTCAAGTCTTGCGCCGTCGGTCGATGATTGGCCAACACGCCCTATAACTGCCGCTTCTTTGCTGCCGCTGGTATTAACTCTGACGATGGACTTCTGCACGAGTTCAAGAGCTTATAGCAATAAACAAAATGTTCCGGTGCTCCACCACCATTCTTCTTTACGTATACGTACACCTGGAACTCGAATTTTCGCCTTCATTTGCAAAAACTACTCTTTTGTTGGCTACTGACAGTTCGTGGGATCGTCAATAGATATTAGGGGTGGATTTGTTGAGTACAAAAATCAACTGATTGCAAGCTGACACGTGCGCACTAATTACTACTAATAACTAATTAGGTTTAGGCGTAAACGACGAAAGAAACGTCCGGGAAATTATTTTGTCGAGTGGATTTGGTCATTCCGTCGGAACTCGGTAGGCGATTTAAAGGGCCAATTTGGCCCATATTTAGCAGTTTTGCATGAATAGGGGCTCTACTTGACTGCGTTTCCTGAAGTTCCTACCTACTAAGGACTTTTGCGACCTGTCTATATCCAGTGGCGAATGATCCTCACTTTGAAAATGTCTGCTCACGGAAGAATGGTCTGTGAAGCCATTTGTTGACTAGTCGATCGTTAACGACGACACCAGCAGCAGAGTAAGCAGTGGATTTTGGAGACTATCGCGACGGCTTACGCCACTACGACCGCCAGGCCCAATTCTGAACAGGTGGAGAAATGGAATTCAAGTTGTATTCTGTACAAAACTATTAGTGAAGAGGTTGGTAAGAGTTGACTGTCGGACGGGAGCACGTCCAACGCCGCGAGAGTCGTGTCCGCTATTGTGAGACAGTGGGACAGTCGTCCAGCACCTTCAGCGAGGTCACGTCCAAGTCTGCCTCCAAGATGATTGGCCAGTTTGGACAGCTGGCATTGGCCGAGAACCAGGCTGCAATTTGTGCGCAAGTACAAGTAGTGGCGAGAGGCTCAGTGTTGCAACATGCGCCGCCCGGAGTTGGACCATTACAACTTTATCCAGTCAACGGCTACTTGTTGAGTAGGCAGATTGATGTACAAGGCTCCGTATGCGCCGGTCGACTGAGTTCACATCCGGTTCGCAGAATCCTATCAATTTGCTGTTCGTATTTCCTTTATCTTGAGTAGGAACCTGTGCGGTCTGGAATTGCCGCGGAATTAAGGTTTTCTAGGTACACCCTACTCACCAGAACTTCCAGAAGGTGGGTCGCTTTCACTGGTTCAACCGCCAGCGCATACTCATTTTTCCAACTTCCACAAAATAAAGCCAATTATTTAGTACGCGATATAGGGGACGTTGGCTGGGTAAGATCGCAGTTGGTAGCCAGAAATTATGCGTTGATACTGTCGACGTACGTACTTGTTATCAGTAGGTGTGCTTACCTTGTCTAGGGAACTTGTAATCAGTAGGTGTGCTCTTACTTAGTTAGGCAGGTGGCCCGTTCCGGTCAGGCTGTTGGGTTTAGTGAGGGTTAGGGTTAGGTGTAGGTTACGTTTTAGGATTAGGGTTTGTGTTCTGAGGTCAGGTTTCAGTGTTAGAGTTAGGGTTTAGTTTCCCGTTAGGGTTACGGTTAAGGTTAGGGTTAAGGTTATGGTTAGGGCTATGGCTAGGTTTTGGGTTAGCGTTGGGTTTTAGAATTTTGGTTACGTTTCGGTTTTGAGGCTTTGGGTTAGGCTTTACTATTGCCGTCAAGTTTGGATTTTAGGGTTAAGGTTAGAGTTTAAATTTCTGACATTATTCCACCTACTTAAAACTTCCCAACACTTTCCCTGGTAACTTTACTTTTTTTCCAGAAACTCCAGCATTCCTCTACCAGCCCTTCCATTTACCCCACCCATATAACCCCCCTTCCCACCATTCCCGTACGACAGGGACCCGGCTGTACGCCTCCCTATTCCTGGTTACAAACTGCGATCTAACCGTTGATTGTCTTGCGACTATCCCATAAACCTCCACTCAAATAAGAACAGACTGCATGACTATGTTGATCTATTGGTAGGTACCATGATCGGGTACAACCTCGGAAAAGGACAGAATAACTTAACTCGATGGCCAATACACCCTGCCTCCCCCGTTTGCTGTGAGCTTAACACCAAGAATTCGCCAGACGCAGTCCCTCAAGCACTTCGCTCCTGATGGCCCTGTTTTGATGACGCTGGACGCAGTCGCCCTCCGTCCCTCCGGACTCTTGCCCTTAACCCCCCCCCCTCCCGCCGCTCCACACCGAATCAAAAGTGGCGTCGTAACCAGCCTCTTTCGCGGTCCCTTCGGTCATTATTCACACAATGTCACCCCGGGTCGGAGCTCTTGGAACTTCCTCTCAGCCACTGCCTACGGTATCCTCACTTTTCGACCTAGCCGTTTCCATGCACGTTCAACCGAAGAGTTGTTGCGATGGGCCAACTGAACCTGTAGTGCAACATGCAAACATCGGGAGACTGTGGCGGTGTTAAATATGTGCAAGGAATTCACGACGGTGTGCGTAACGGCCAAATGCAGCTTGACGCCGCTCCGCCGAGCGGTAGTTGGGGACACCACTGACGCACGAGAGTTTTTTGTCACAACAGTGGACCTTGTCATTTATCGCCGGCGTCGCTCCGTCTTCTTGAACATTCCTGGATAGAACATGCGTTAAGCAGGCTAGTGGATGTCTGCCTTTCTGGCTTTCCCAATGATGGAATACTGGCTCCGTGATCTACACGCTGTAAGGTGGGTGTCAGCGAGATTGCACAGAATCCGAAATGGTTCGAATGGTTGGACTGTAGGAGACTTTTTGAAGATTTGAAGGACTGAATGGCATTACCGGCAAAGACAAGGGAGACTGGAATGGCCATTTCTGGCTTATTAGCCGTCGTCAGCCAGTCATACCCAACCCCGAAGTGTGGGACACCCGAGGCTCGATCTCGCGGCCTGTTATTTGGAAGTTCACGCAAGAGAGAGAGAGCTCATAAGGCACAACAGAACGAGTGACTTCCGTAAGAACGATCGATGAGCGCCCCCTACCATTTGAAGGGCTATTGTACTGCTACCTGCACCGATAAGCACTTCAAACACACAAGTAATTTAGATGGGCATCGTCAACAAAAATAAGGGACGTCCGAAGAGCCATCTCTCTATCAGTGATTTATAAAAGCCGATAAAACCAATCCCACTCCAAGCCGGAAAGAGCAAACATGTAATACTTAGTGAACGACTTACAATAAGCTCTTGCTTGCTCAAATGCTGTCTTGAAGCTACGTATGTATTGGGTGATCTTCTATAATTGTCTGGCAGTCGCCGGGGCGATAGTTGCAGGTTAATTAGCATGGACATCTAGACGATCTGGTTGCATCACACGACCGGCAATTCGACCAATTTCTCCTATATCCCCGCAAGCAGTGGCAGTGAATGAAGCTTTTAAAAAAGAGAGAACGATCAGACGCAAGATCTTATTTCGTAGCCGTACCTGTTAGGGGTTAGGGTTCGGGGTTATGTTGGGGCTTGTCCGCTGCAGGTACGGCTACGAAAGAAGATCTGACCCAATCATATAATTAGGATTGCACTGCTAACACGCCAAGTTTTAAAATGACTTCATAATGTCATCGTCACGATCTACGCATAATCGAGAGACAGAGTCTGAAGCACTGTCATCTAAAGTCTTCCTCAAAACATGGTCATAAGCGTAAAATATGGGATTTTACGTTCTTGGAAAGGGCCAAGACCGTAATGTGTGAAGACTCACCGTTTCCTGCATTTTGCACAGATATCATCCACATCCATGACGCAGCTCCGGCTGGCCTGCCTATGCGACTGCAGTGCACGCCAGATCGGTCCAGTGTGTAAGCCATTGTGACCAGTGCGTTCGCAGCCCAACCACTTCAGCCAATGAGGGATAGGCTGAAAAGTGAATGGCTCTAAAAACCACCAATCAGAAGGGTCGCAGACCAGCGTCGGCGCCCGGTATTAATGCAAAACCTCCGTCTTTCAGTTGAAGCGCTTCGCGCCCGTATTTCACATCAATAGTAGTGAAAATCCCATTCCCAGGTGGCATATCAAAAGAAAAGGGGGCGTTCACCGGGAGGGGTTTATTTGAGATCCGACGTATCGGGTAGTTTATTCGTCTACCCATCCTCAGGGACTGGGAGGTCCTGTGCACAGCACTCCTTATTATGGCGCCCTTTGTCCAATGCGTGATCCGCCAATGCCGCCTGTGTGGCTGCATCCAACCCGCATGTCACCGTGACCTGAATCGCCCCCGTCGGCCGCGGTGATGACTGACGGCCCCGATTGTCCCGCGCCGTGACTGTCTCCCGCTAAGAAGGTTCGTAAAGTCAGATAGGGTGGAGGCAAATTGATGTGGCGGTTAACAAAGCGGTCGGTGGACATCCAGGCTTCTTGCACTTGCCTTGCTGTGTGATCGCTGCCCCGGCCCACAATCTCAACGGCGTCAAAGTTGAAGATGTGGGCCGTTGAGATTGTGGGCCGGGGCAGCGATCACACAGCAAGGCAAGTGCAAGAAGCCTGGATGTCCACCGACCGCTCTGTTAACCGCCACATCAATTTGCCTCCACCCTATCTGACTTTACGAACCTTCTTAGCGGGAGACAGTCACGGCGCGGGACAATCGGGGCCGTCAGTCATCACCGCGGCCGACGGGGGCGATTCAGGTCACGGTGACATGCGGGTTGGATGCAGCCACACAGGCGGCATTGGCGGATCACGCATTGGACAAAGGGCGCCATAATAAGGAGTGCTGTGCACAGGACCTCCCAGTCCCTGAGGATGGGTAGACGAATAAACTACCCGATACGTCGGATCTCAAATAAACCCCTCCCGGTGAACGCCCCTTTTCTTTTGACCTCCGTCTTTCCTTTGCCGAAGCCGGATGATATGTTGGTAGGTCGAGTATAAACATCTGCCTACGAAATCTCACTCATTGTTAACTCCTGAGACCAGAGACTCATGACAAGATGTTGTCATTGGGTTGGTTAGGTAAACGTCCGCGAAAATGTGCGAACGAATGAAATGACAGTTCGAATACTGGAGTGCGCCTATATTCGCGTTGTCGGCATTGAAATCTGCCAGTGGGTCCCTAACGATTTTAGGAGTGTTTCATGCCTGAGAACGCAGGCTGGAGGAGAGGATGCGTCAAGCTCTCGGAATCCGCTGTCGCCGATCCTCATGCTTGAAAAGGCACATTTCGCGACGTCCTCGAGGCCAGCTAGGTGAAGCATGGTCACATGAAAAAAAAAACAAAAAACATCCGGCTTCACTTTTCGATCAATAAACCGTGAGAGCTAATACTCTTCAGTACGTTTCTTTCTGAAATGCGCTTTATCAAATGCCTTGTCTGCTGATATCACCTCACTTCATGCAACCAATAGTTCTGAGGTTATGAAACAAATAAATTAAAATTATTGTCACCAAAGACTGCCTCTATTCATTCACGTCATCCATAGAACATTTGAGGTATATAAGCTTACCAAGGTTGAGAAAAAAGCTAGTAGGAGATCCGAAAACCTTCCGCAGTATTACCGCTGCCAAATTCACAGGTTTTCGAACGGGTAATTGGGCAAGGTTACCTTCTTTGGCAACCGATTTTTGACGGGAGACATCACAATCAAAGGAGTACACACGAGTGTTTCCAAACATGAGAAGCCGAGATAGTGAAAGGTCAGGCGATGCACAAAAGGTGGCAGAGTTATTCTTTGCAAATGTCCTCTGTGAGCCAAGTGTCCCAATACAACCAAAACAGGAACCGAGTCTGAGCGAATTGATGGCATTATTGATTTATGAGGCTATGGGAGTACATGCCTTCTGGACGGTCAAGTCTGCCAGAGGGGGGGGTAGGGATTTGCAATAGGTTGCCCCATTTTGATCCCACTTTTGCGGGAGATTTTGAACAGAAATTTATGTGAAAAAGCCCAACAACTACCCCCCATCTGCTGGTGGCTTTCTGTCGGCTACCGTTTCTCATTCTCTGGAGATGACATCTTGGCTAATTTTAACTTTATTGTAGTCCTCTTATTAAAACCTACTCTCCACAGCTAGGGCTCCGTCAAAATAAAGTCATCCAGAACTTTAGGCATTTCAATAATTCGACCAATTGCTTAAGCAGGGTTAAACAGAGAGGGAAGGGGAGAGAGTGAAACACGCTTTTTTCTGAAATTACTATTCCGAAACTTCCTCCATTCCCGCTGCCAGAATGCAAGTTAAAAATGATGAGGGGGTAAATGAATTTACTAAAAACACCAACGTTTTTAGTCACAATTCGAATCTTAGTTTCTGTTATTCGGTCTGTTTACACATTAGGTTTTACGCCAGAATCGGTATGCTGATGTACAGCAAGAGATATGTCAGAAGCCTCGGAGCATGGGACGGAAAGACTTCGCAGCAATTCATTCAGGGAGAGGGGAATGGACAGCATCATTCAGAATCGGACCAGCAAACGGCTTGACCGTTATGGAATGTTGTTGTATTAAGAAACAGAAGAATCAAATGTGGTTATGTAGCCCCACCTGAGGTAAACAAACCCCAGCCGCCTGTAATATGAGACCGGTGGCAATGGAGGTTTTCGCAGATGGTACCGGGGAACGCACAGGCGAAGAGGTCAAGTAGTTGTATGCAAAGGAAAAGCTATTGGAAATGCGCGGTTGTACTTTAAATGGGTTGGAAATAGTTGCCCTAACCCCTAACCGCAACACCTAACCCTAACTCCCGACTCCAGTCCCAACTCTTACCCTTAACCGCAGCTCTTAACCCTAAGCCAACGGTATTGTATCTATCAGGTGGGGCTACATAATCACATCTTGCCAACATAAGAAACACCAACAGTGGAAAAGAATACAAAGAGGGCACGTTTTAAAATGAACATATCTTTTTAAGCAAAGGAGGAAACACAACGGGAAAACACTTGAGAATAAGGGGTCATCTACAAATATCCAGACTAGGGATGTGATCTGTGACAGGAACTTAAAGGACGGAGATAATAAACAAGCTTACGAACTTTGGTAAAAGGTTGTCAGCATGAAGGAAGAATGATAGATTCGAGGACAAGGTAAGACCAAAGTTACGGAAAGATGATGTCTCATTGGAGAAAATATCAAGGGATTCAGAAATAGGAGAGGCTCGCTTTCGAAAAAACACATTGGACAGATTTTTGATCGTTAAACAGAAGGCCATTTGCCAGCGACCACTCAGAGACATGATCCAAACCATTTATCGGAAACCGGGAATGAGTTTGGAATTCAACAGGTTGGCCATCAATAACATCAACCGTATACTTGACATAGGGGCAGCCATTGGGCGATCTCAGGTCGTCAGTCTGGATATCAATATTATTCACTAACCGGTTTAACTTACTGCCCTTAATACTTAGGTCTCGTGATATAACATTCCTCAGTCTGTGAAAACATTATCATCTACGGCATCGGTGACTCCCACCGGTAATGCAGACTTTATACCTTCCTGTCATAATGAACAACATCTAACGCACTATTTTTTGTGAATTTTTATTCCACTTACGCCTACTTTTTTCGCAAATTTTCTCAATAGTGTGTCATTGTCACCCTACTTATTACGTCCCACTCCAACCAACAACTCGATGCCCCCGTCCAATCCATTCATGCCCTCAATTTCACCTCGCCCGAATTCTGGCAACATGCTCTGGAACTTTATTTCATCCTTGTTGAATCAGCCTTTTATTCTGCTAACATTAACAAGAAGTTGGCGAAATACCACAAACTTATAGAGATTCTCCCCGCTAGTGTTACCTTCCAAGTCCAGTTCTTGATATCTTATACCCCCATTGATGCTCCCTATTCCAGAGAGACAGAGGGAGAGGAGGTCGCTTTATTTCGTAATAGTAAATTCTAAATTTTCAGAAAGAAATTGGCTCCATTCACTATCGGCAGTAAATAAGTAAAATGATTATTCCAGAGTCAAAAAGTATGACATAAAAGGAACGATTATTATGGTAGCAGTTCAGGTCTTCGCGTCTGTATTTCTATCTCTTCACACGTAAGATAGCGCGACAGGAATGGCAATACAGAAGCTCGAAATACCAATGTGCGACAAGACACAAGTCGGAAGCCGCAACACATCGAGTAGGAAGACTTCGCAGAAATAAAATCAGAATGGAAGGGATTGGAAACGTCATCTATAATCCGACCAGCAAATTGCTTGACCGTATTGAAATGTCGTTGTAGGATAATATCGACTAAAAAAATATAAAAAACACCAGCGACAAAAGAGGACATTCGGAGGACTCGTTTTAAAATTAAATTACACTAAAGGCAATAATCCTTCGACTTAATCCTGTATCTGACAGACAGCGCTATCACCTGTTTATTAGGGAGGAATCACTGGGCGGCCGGAAGCCCGCAGAACTTCTGCATCGAATGTGTTCTCTCCTTGGGGACGGGCAGATTGATGATAAGCTCGTCAAAGAGATATCTATAGAACGTCTATCTGCATATGCTCCAACGATTTTGGCGTCTGGTTCTCAAGATCTCATGGTCGCAGCTGACTTAAATAACGCATCAAATGATAAATGTGCAGCGGTTCCAGCCGCACTCCGTTGCTCAGATCTCCTCATCCACGTCGACAGTGAATAAACAAGTGGCCGCCCAAACCTCCGAAATGGGTCACAAGTTTAATTTCGCAGCCAACAAAATAGTCGCCCAAAGGGGAAAAAATAGGCCGAGACTTGATTGAAGCTCGGGCTTTGGATGAGAACTCAGTCAATCAATTTATCGATCTGGCGGCGGTGTAAAGGGCCCTGCGCAGTCACCTCCAGTCTCGCGCTGTCAGTCGATGATTGGCCTACATGACCTATAACTGTCGCTTG